CTTCCCCATGACTGTAGCCTGCTTCCCCACTTCCCCATGACTGTAGCCTGCTTCCCCACTTCCCCATGACTGTACCCTGCTCCCCCACTTCCCCATGACTGTAGCCTGCTTCCCCGCCACCATAACCTGCATCCCCATGACTGTAGCCTGCTTCCCCACTTCCCCATGACTGTAGCCTGCTTCCCCGCCACCATAACCTGCATCCCCATGACTGTAGCCTGCTTCCCCACTTCCCCAGTCCCCAGCAGCCCACTTCCCCATGACTGTAGCCTGCTTCCCCACTTCCCCATGACTGTAGCCTGCTTCCCCACTTCCTCAGTCCCCAGCAGCCCACTTCCCCGCCGCCCACTAATTAATCCTCCTGTACTCTCTACCTCGCTAACATCGAGCCATCAGCACTTCCTTTACATTAACACCCATAAGAAGGCTATTTTCCTTAGTGAAGTGTTGATTATCTCGGAAACTATTTTTATGAACTTTGCTGGCTCTGTAAGGGGCTTGTAGACCCCTCCCCCCGGTTTTCTTCCTTGCCGAAATCTCTTCCCCCCAATTAACGAGACGGTAGCACTGTCATGTCTGTGGCCGGTGTCCCCGCGTGGCAGCGGACGTGAGCATGAGATGGTCATGGTTGGTTTACCCCAGCTTCCCGATATGCTGTTGTGGGGGGGGTGGTAATGACAGAAATGGTTTGATAGCCAAGCAGGACGGAAGGGCTGAGTGCATGTGTGTTGTGGTGGTGATGAAAGTGGGGTTGGGGTTTCCTCGACAGTGTATGCTCACTTCAGATGTACCGTATTGCACACGAAGGTTCATGGTAAAGAAGCTATAGGGAAATCAACAGAGGAGGGCTCCAGCTCTCCTGGCCTGCTCTCCTCTCGATGGATGGCTTGGAGAAATCAGCATTCAGCCCTTCAGCTGCCGGGCAAGTCGTGGACTTCCTATCGCTCATTGCATTACTATTACTGCATTTTCATCACAGACACACCTCACCCCCTGATTTGTCCCGGCCTCCTTGGTGTCACAGGAAGTGACCCTTCGCTCCCACTGGAGCATAACCCCCCAGCATCATTTGTCTGTTAAATTGGTCCTGTGTTTTCGAGCCAGTGTTCAGAAAGCACGCCTCTTCTTTGCTTCTTTGGAGTGATTTTCGTTCGGGGGTGGGGGGGGGGGGAGCTTGTACCAGAATGCCGCATGGTTGCGAGCAGTGTGATGCGAGGAATGAGTCGGGCGGTGTGAAAAACGGTCCCTTGCAAATGGGACGTGTTGCGTAGTCACTGTGGCCTGTGGGACCGCTTGGTTCTAATCAGCGGTGGAACAGAACCGTTTAAGCTTGCTCCCTGCAGAACCGCCACCCTCCGCCTGGCCCCATCACATGTGTGCCCAAGAGAAAGTAATCAGGACAGGTATTAAAGCCAAATTCTGGGATCTGGAGGATGATGCGTTTCAGCTGTCGGCGGACTCCCGTATGTAACGTGACTGCAGTGGCGTCCGGCCCCCACACAGCTGCTGCCGATGTTCTCAGTTCCATGGAGGCTTCACAGCTCCTCCAACGACGCCTGGATCTTAACGTCACCGGAGGGTCCTTCCTCCGGCGTCCGCGCTTGGAAAAATGGTTCTCGCTGTGGGCAGATTCCGCTGCTCTCCGTGTTTAATGGCCTTTGGAGGAACTCCAGATCGTCAGCCAACTGGGATTTCAAGCCTAGTTTCCATCCTGCTTAGCTGACGAAACTCCCCCCCC